ACATAAAATATAGTTAAAAAATTAAATACCATTAGCAGAAATTGTAGGAGACTGGAAGCTAATATATAAAATTTTCCTGCCTGCAGTGACGTCTTTGACCTATTGGAGGCCCTGGGCATATTAGGATAATGGGCCCCTACGACCCCATTTGGTGATCTAACACGAACTAGTGAGTTCGTATTTGATCTGAAGTGGGCCCCTATCGATCGCGGGGCCCTGGGCATTTGCCCAAATTGGCCACTGGGAACCTCTTTCCCAGTGGCCACGTCTGCCTGCCTGTGCCTTAGGCCCCAGGCCCCCCACGCTTGGATATGCGAATTGTTTTAAATAACTTCGAGGAGTTATAAAATGAGCTTAAAAGCTCTCTCTTATTTCAACCAGTGAGTATATAAATATATGTATACTGAAAATAGTGTGTTCGTGTTGTTGTGTGTTTGCGTGTTTGTGTGTGTATGTGTGTTTGTGCACGTGTGTGCACGGTTGCGTGTGTGTAGAGACACTATACATACATATTCGATTTGTATTTATTCATCTAAACATATTCGATTTTACCACAAAGCTGTGCTGAGTAATGCCGGCCCGCTAATGTGTGTAGCTACCCTACTAGGTTTAATGCTGACTGTACAGTCCTCAAGGCTTTATTAGCCATTGAGACAATAAGACATTAAAAACGCCTTTATTCCGTAGCAATAAGAGCTACATTTGAAGTTCAAGTATTACTACCATCTGTACAACCCTGTCACCGGTTCTTTCTTTCAATAAATTATGCAAACGGCTGAAATTGGGAAATAAATACTTGCTTCGATGATTATCATATCAAATATCAAAATAAAGAGAACTTTTTAACACAATATTAAATAAGTATAAAGACAACAAGTCTCATAATGTTAGTACAAAAGTACTAGCTTACATGTTTTTTTTTATCATAATTGTATCTTAAACTTTCGACGCACACCTTGTATTAAATAAAACACTTTTTTGACATAGCGAAATATCTGAAAACATTATAATATAATGTCTTGTTACATGTTATTAGTGTCTTATCCCTATCGATAGCGGGCCTTATATCAAAATCGATAATGTTTTAATTTTTTTTTGAGCAAAAAACTGCTGGATGTTTAAATCTAAAGAATAGTTTTACCAGAAAAATCCACGCGGACCAGGCAGCGGACGGGACTCGAACCCGCACCCTTCGCAATCCGAGCGAATGCACTGACCAATTTTGCTACCACGGCACTGATGGCCGCGTCGAAATTTTCCTAGCCTTAAGCTGCAAGGCAGCGCCATCTCTTCGCATTGTGGGTAGCCCACAATGTCAAATGAATACTTTTTCAAGTATTAAACATTTAGTCCGCGTGCATTTTTTCTAGTAAAACTTTTCTTTGAAATCGAACATGTTGAAAATCCGTTTAAAAATAGAATTTTGCTTCTGTGCTCTAGACCTACCGAAAAAAGTGTTTTATTAAATTATCATAATATTATTCAAACCAGTCTTTTAAAGGTTCCCCTTAACGCTATATTTGGATATTAGAACTAAATGAAATCCAAGAAATTAGGTTTAACATCCATCAAAGTCAACTAGAAAAACAAAAATCTTCGCCATATTGCGGAATATTAATGGAACTGCTTCCCCTTAACGCTATATTTGGATATTAGAACTAAATGAAATCCAAGAAATTAGGTTTAACATCCATCAAAGTCAACTAGAAAAACAAAAATCTTCGCCATATTGCGGAATATTAATGGAACTGCTAACATAATAAAACTATTAACTAACTATATCCTTAGATTAAAACAAAAAGGATAGATACGGCACTAGCCTCACAAAAGTGATCCGCACAAATTGTGGTCCACGACTCTAATCGCTTTAGTCACAGGTTGACATGCAAACGACGTACATGTGAACGCCAAAAAGAAACAATATTTTGTGTTTATATGATAAAACAAAGCCTAAGTATGTTTTTAAAAAGTGCTCAAATTAAAAAATAAAGTCCACGGCATCACTTTTCATTCGTAAATACTATAAAATATAACTTTTCATAAAAAATCCTGTTTGTTTTGAATCTTATTCGGTAGTGACGTCGAGTACTGGTCGCGTGATTGGTCGGTAGTGCAGTGACGTGGATCTCGCCGTCTCGTTCGCGCTGCCGTTGAAACTTAACGTGCTGTTTCGTTCGGGTCGGTAATGCAGTGACGCGGATCTCGCCGTCCCGTTCGCGCTGCCGTGGGATCAGTTTTTGTTTGATGCAAGTATGAGCGTACCGTATCTACCCTTTTTGTTTTAATCTAAGACTATATCACGCAAAAACGGCTAAACGAATTTAGATCAACCTCATTCTCATCATTAGTCTATTATTGTCGCGACTTTTGGAGCACAGGGGGCCAATCATCTACCGGTATTGCTATGGCTACCGCTATCGTTTACGATTTCATGTTGTTATTTCTGCCGCCGAAGGTTTTTAAATACCTCACGCTCATTTTATTTATTATTTTTATTACTAATGCAAACGAGAGAAAAAATGCGCTAGGCATTTGAAAACCTTCGACGGCCAGAACAAACAAAATAAAATAGTAAACTATAGCGATAGCCATAGCAATACCGTTAGGCGTTTCGCCCCCAGATTTTTCAAGACAAGGTTCTAATGAGTGAAGATAAAGTAGTGTATGCTACTGCATATAATTTAGGTATTAAAACACTCGAGTCAACCTATTCGTGTTAATACACAACACCCCCAAAAGTTCGTTTCGGTAGGTAGTGTTTCCAAAAAAAATCAAAAGTGTCATCTTATTTTTATCACAACTTGCTCAATTTTGATACTTTTAACTTTTTACAGTGCTCATTAGAAAGGTATTTCCAAGGACTTTAAAAAGTGTTCAGGAAGTATATGTCATAAAATGCATCGGTTTCCCGTTATTAAGGTTTGAATACTTAGATTTAAGTACCCGCCGAAAAAATTATACATACAATTTCCTTTAGCTCACTTTGAATTAATATTAGAAGGTTTTTCAAAGTAGGGGTTTGTCTGTTTCATTATTAGCTTTAATTTTGGTAATAATACATTTTTTTGTAAAAACTCATAGTTTTTGAGTTATTTATAAAAACCGCTTTAAAACATGTATTTTTATCACGAAAAATCACAATCTTTGGTCTTTACTAACTCCGAAGGTATTGATTTATTCCAAAATCTTTATATAACAAATTTTGCTTAGAATTTATTTTTCTATCGATTTCTCGAGTTATTTTATTAAAATAATTTTCACCCCCCGAGAAGAGGTGGCATCTACCCTCAGGGTACAAGGGCAAATTGGCACTATGTCACTTTTGTTTCTTGAGGTATCCCCCCACCTACTCACCAATTTACATGAAAATCGATGGAGGTTCAACGAAAGCGGAGGTTGTAGCCGATTTTTGCCTTCATTGACTGGACTACTATACCAGTTTTACATTCTTTCAGCTTCAAATCCTGTTTTTTTTTTACTTCTTTGGTCAAAGAACTGCAAATCCTAGTTAGCAAAAATCATCTTACCAATAGCAGTCTTATTGATAATCGTAAAAATTCATCCAACATACAATGGCAATTGGCAAATTAAACCTTAACACAAACCAAATAAGAGTTAAAATTCACTTGCTGTACATATAGAACAGAATCCATACATGCAATAGACTTATGAAGAATCTCTTACGCATTGCAGCCTGAAGTAAATATATAATAGCCAAAAGACTATTACGATGACTACAACGAAAGAATGCGATCCTGACAGTTCCTTATGTCGATAGAATTAGAGATTATTTTCGGACCTTTTTTTTACATCGAAAGTGTATTTTTTTGTTACTCTACTACTACTAATCACACTATTATTATAAAGGCGAAAGTTTGTGAGTGTGTATGTTTGTTACTTCATCACGTCTAAATGGCTGGAAGGATTTTAATAAAATTTGGAGTTAGCTGACCCCTGGATTAACACATAGGCTGTTTTACTGCGGGAAAATATCCCCAATAAACCGCGGGGCACAGCTAGTATTTAATAATTTAATAATTTGAATATTATATTTTAAGTAATTAATTTATTTTAATTGAATATAAATACTTTAGATCTACCTACGTTGTTATAGTAATCGCTAGCGTATTTGCGAACATGTCTCGATGACATCTGTCAATTTTTAGACCTTAATCTGTGCTCATGTTGTCAAATGGCATGAAAACGTGAGTCGATATCACCAGATTTCACTTCTTTGAGTGACCGCTAGAGGCGCTGTACAATTCTCCATCTGGTACGTCGTCGAAATCGATAAAATTTGCAAAATTCATAGTAGAGCTAATGTTTTTATATTAAAGCGGGCTCCACTTGCTTGTTGTTTGCTGCAAATAGCAAACATTCGCCAAACACCGACAATAATTACACAACACAAACGCGCATCCCTAGATTTGGCGAGCATGTTAGTACATTCTAGTTTGGCAAACAACATCCTTTGATTTGTGCAAAATACCGACACCGATCACTGGCAAACACAAATAACGAACAGCCATCTACACGTTTGTCTTTGTTGTTTCATCATCAGTCTATAAATGTCCTAAAATAAATGTATAGGCCCCAGCTCCAGCTTCCCTATGGATGGAATAGAGAGATTGGGACATGACCCACCACGCGGGCCCAGTGCGGATTGGTGGGTGCTAAGGTTGACAGATGCAACCGGGACCAGCGGCTTAACGTGCCTACCAAGGAACGGAGGACCTAGAGATAAAAAAATTTTGGTCACCCATCCAATGACTGACCATTGCGAAAGTTGCTTAACTTGCACGATCGCAAGTCGAACTCGCTAACCACCTGTGCCATCGACCTCCTTCTGTGTTTTGTAGCCGCTGTTTGCCGTCTGCATGCCACTTGCAGCAAATTTGTTAAACCTTGATTCAACTAAACCTAGCTTTACCCATAGAAAAATGTCAGAAGGACATTGTCAACAGGCAAATTCTACTTAAATTGAGATTTAGCAAGTGGACCTAAGCTCTACTCGCATCAATATTGCTATATTTCAATTTCACTAATACCAGATTTAGCCCACACAATGATGTCAAATCGACATTGGTGTCAATTCTGGCGTGATTCTCTAAACTTAAAACTAAACTTAAGGTCAGTCTCACCTTTTCATTCTGTATAGAGAAGGACAAGGATGCACTGTTGTCAAATTTAAGTTTGGCTTTAGAGAATCATGCCAGAATCGACATCATTGACGTTTTGACATTTTTCTATGGAATAGATCTGGTTTTAATTGAAACGAGATTTAGCAAAATCCCTGCAGGTGGCCCTAAAGAACTGATCATTATTATGGAAACGCATTCATTCAATGTCCGCTCTTTAAACAGCTGCAACACGCTATGAAACCCACTCACTGCACGTTCCAATACTTATTCCAGAGAAATAACGTGTTCAAAGGGCTGATGCTAGCCTCGGCTTTGCTCCTGGCTTCGGCTGTCTTGTGTAACTCGCTTATTTTGCTCATAAGAGGGTTCAAGAACGTTTTTATCCACTCTTCGGAACTACGCCTGCCCGTTATGGAATTGAGGTTGGGCGTTAAGTCCGTTTGGAGGGTAACAAATTCTGTTATCAATCTGGGAAAAGAGACAATAAGATAAAACAGTTTAATTTATTTTTTAAGCATTTAACTGGTAGATATTTGTTTCTTGGGTTTTCACGCACACCACTCATTTAATAAAATAAGATTCAACGGTATAATGCACTGATTTAGTATACATATTGTAGTTATGTTTTTATTTATTTATAAGCAGTTAACTGCTAGATGTTTAAATCTAAAGATTGTGGGTTACCTACAATGCGAAGAGACGGCGCTGCCTTGCAGCTTAAGGCTAGGAAAGTTTCGACGCGGCGAATAGGGCCGTGGTAGCATAATGGTCAGTGCATTTGCCCGGATTGCGAAGGGTGCGGGTTCGAGTCCCGTCCGCTGCCTGGTCCGCGTGGACTTTTTTCTAGTAAACTTTTCTTTAGATTTATACATATTGTATTTTAATATAACTTGAAATTGACATAGGAATTGAATGTTGACATTTTTGAATTCATTGAAAGTATAGTTAATACTCTATGTATTTCTATTATAAAATTTATGATTGACATGTAATTTATTACGAAATAAATGATTATGATTTATGTATTTATTGAAGTTTCGCATACTTTTCAGGATGCGTGATTTTATTTCCTTTGAAAAGGATGCGAAACGTCAATTAATAAATATATCAGTGCATCTATACAGTTGAAACTAGTTTTATTTAGGGTGTGTTCCGAAATATACATCAGTATACTGGCCAGTGGTAATGACGTCAAGAATTCGACGCCATATTGTACTGGTATGATACCATATTTTTACCGGGAAAACGAATATGACGTATGACCGAGCGTGCGTTAGATGCATTCGAATTTCATTTCTTTTTTATTTAAAGAACAATAATGGCATCCGAACAAAAAGAATTCCTTTTAATTGTCGAGGTGAATAAAAAATCTTCTTTATTCGCACTATTTTTAATATTTCGTCATTAGCACTGGCCAGTATACTGGTATATATTACGGAATACAACCTTAATGAGTGGTGCATCTATACCGTTGAAACTTGTTTTATTTAACTGCTAAATATTTAAATGTAAAGAAAATGTTAAAAGAAAAATTTCAACGCAGTCCAGTCAGCAGACAGGACCCGTTCCGTCGTAAAATACAATTGCTATTTCTTCTTTCAAATGTGTAATACTTGTAAAAGTGTTTCGTTTGACATTGTGGGTTACCTACAATGAGAAGAGATGGCGCTACCTTGCAGTCTAAGGAAAACTAGAGGAAATTCGACACGGCCATTTAGGCCATGGTAGCATAATTGGTCAGTGCATCCGCCCGGATAGCGGATGGTGCGGGTTCAGGTCCCGTCTGCTGCCTGGGTCGCGTGGAATTTTTTCTAGTAATATTTTCTTTAGATTTAAAAATAAAACAGTTTGAAAATATCTATAAAGCTTTGGCGAGAGTTAGGCTTGAAATAACTTAGTAATTTTAGATGTTTGTTAATAAGTTCTGTATAACTACTGTTACCAAGGGGTTTTCTACGCCATAGCGAATGCCAGATATCGAACACCAGTTGATCGGTGACAAAAAACCGAAATCCCATTGTATCGACATGCCATTTGATAGAATTGTAAATAATCGTTAGCTCAATAGCTCGTTATGCGAATAGATCAAAAGCTAATTAGATCTATGATCTATAAGATCGAATGCCGAATGCATCTGCTCTCTGATCATAAATCTTATTGTGGCGTACAGTCCGTGTTTCTATTATGGAGGTATAAGAATCGAGTAGGGGAGAAATAAAAATACATACTGTTTTGAGACGGTAACGATGTTTTCAGCCTGCACCGGATTTGTGTAACTGTTCTCGATCTGCCACGCGTTCAGCCAAGTTGTCACTCTGAAATCATTCGTAATCAATGTAAAGTCATTTCGGTTAATATATTTTTCGACACATTTGCTCAAAAAATGCATTAAGGGGATCGTATATATTGTTCGTAAGTTCAAAATTACGCACCATACAATGAAATGAAATGAAATGAAATTTATTTATTCACACAAAACAGAGTAGATACATTTTGGTAGTAATTTTCATTTAGTTCGTCCATATTGCCAACGACAGGGCGGGCATGTGAATGTCAAACTTAATTTAATTCTAAAATTTAAAGGTACTTATGTCATTTTACTTATTCTATTCTAAGTCAATTTTCGTTTCTAAATATTCTCTAACTGAGTAAAAACACTTCGTTATTAGCCACATTTTAAGCTTCCTTTTAAATACAGGCAAACTAAGCTCCGTTATCAAGCGTGGTAACTTATTATAGATTTTTATACAATTCGGATATCAGTTTTTTATTGTAATATTGAGTACGCATATTGGGCAACATCAATCTACCACGATGTCTCGCTAATCAGCAGGTATCTGTGTATTTAAATTTAAAATTATAAGGATGTGTCTTAACAAAAATACAACATTCCAAAATAAAAATAGAGGGAAGTGTAAGTAATTATACTTTGAGAAATAGTTGCCTGCATGATGTCATTTTCGGGACATCGCATATAGCTGGGATGCACTGTTTTGGGGATATAAAAGCTCTGTTAATGTCCGTAGAATTTCCCCACAAAAATATACCGTATTTAAGATTGGATGCAACATATCCGTGATAAGCCATTAGAGCTGCGTTTTGGTTTACAATTCGATTTAACTGCCACAATGCATACGCAAACCTATTTATCTTATTACAGATTTTTTTATGTGATTCTTCCATGAAAACTGGTTATCAACCACCATTCCTAAAAAAATTAGTGAATTTGATTCCATGATAGGCTTGTAATCGGTAAAAATTTTACCTCACGCTCCGGTATATGGCACCGTGCGTATCCTTTACGGCTTTTTCTTCTTCTCGGTAGCGCTTTTGATCTATACAGTAAAAGCTCCTTATTCGCGGGGTATACTTTCCTGAAATATGCCGCGAATACAGAAACCATGGAGTGGTAATTTATATGGGATTATAGGGGTTACGTTCCTAGGTTGCTTGGTTGGTTAAAAACAATATTTTTAATTATTCGATTTAAATGAAGTTATTCGCAATATTGATTAATTATATCTATTATTCATAGACCTTATTTTATTAAACATAGAATTTTGACCCTTGCTTCCATAGTCATCCTTGAATCATGTAAATTTGTAAGAAAACACCCAGAATTTTATTTACCAATATTAAGTGTTAAAAGAAATAATAGGTATTTAAATAAATTAGAAGTGCCATACAGCAAAATAAGATTGGTTTCGGATGGTCCTCATGCTATGACAATAAAAATCTATAATCATGGAACTAATAATATAAAGAACATAGCAATACCTGCCAAATTCAACAATAAATTAAAATCATATTAAATCCAAAAAAGTTTTTATAATTTAAAAGAAAAATATATATATATTATAATCAGGTTTTGACAATGTTTTAAAGAACTTCTACTTTAAGCGGTAGCACTAATTTAATTTTGTGTCAGAAATAGATTTTCTTTTTTGTCGATATTAAAAATTAGAAACACATGTGAAGAGATACTTTATTCAATCACAATTTTTGTAATGAATTAAAAGAGGAGACAATAAACCAAGCAAAATGGCTTTCGCCAACATAACATGGCAGAACGTCTAATACATATATTATGAGGTTATACTTTTAAAAATATACCTACTTTAGAAATAGAGTAAGAAGATTGATTTACATGAACGTTATTCAGTTTGTTTACATCCTCGAAAACACCGACCGTGGCGAAGGCGATCGGTGTAATAAAAATATATATATTAGACTAGTGGCCCGCCCTCGCTTCGCTTCGGTGTAGAGCTGTAGTGTAGATTTAAATAACTCTTCATTTATGTAATTATAAAAAAACTGAATGATATATTTGCTTTTTCTAAATTTCTATTGACATCACATCGCTCAATTGTTTTGCCTTCCCAGAATCTATCCACTAACATTTGAAATTTATGGTATGGTGTTAAAGTTCAAATTGACTTTTAAGTATTATTACGAATCGTTTATATGGGAGTATAGAAAAGTGTTGTTTTTGGACATTTTCAGGCATTTTTTTTTTATTTTTCTCTGCGTAAGAACGTAAAAACCGTCCTCGTACTTCAAGGAATATTCTTAAAAAAGAATTATCGAAATCGGTTCAGCTGTTCTCGAGATGTTCGCTCAGCAACACATTCAGCGTTTCATTTTTATATTATAGAAGATATATACTAACAGGTCCCCGTGTATGAAGGCATAGGCTCGGTCCCGCAGTAAAACGAACGCGTGTACGCCGCGTGCCGCTGCCTCGCCCGGCCATTGTTCGCAAGGCAACGATTCGCAGACCACTGCCTCTGTAATAATAAATAAATATTTCCAACACTCACACCAATAGGGTATTTGACAAGTTTTAGAAAACGATCTCACGTTATTGGCTTATGTTTATGGAGTCCGTAAAAAGATATTCATCATTGTGTTGTGTATTTCCGTGGAAATAACGAAATCAGAAACTCCATTTTTACAATGTGGCGTCTAACTAGTGTGTGACGTCAAACGACTGTTATTAAAACGTCCTACGATACAATGTAATGTCACTTTAACCGGAAGTTTACTTGCGTGTGACGTCATTTTAGGCTCCGCCAATCCCAAGCGTTTTGGGTCACGTGACAATAGATAAGAAAACTATTATCTTTTTCGTGGGTTTTTAGTAACATTTTTTTTGTAAAAATAGTAAAAATCCCTGCCAATATTCATTCTAAACACAAATGCTAACAATTGGCACTTTATTTTTAATACTGTCTAATACCCTATTAGTCTAGCCCCAAAGTAAGGCCTATGTTATGGGATACTAGGGTAACGGATATAATACATATACTGTACATCTTTATATATATAATTCTTCTGTGAGTGTGTATGTCACTGAACTTCTCTTAAACGACTGGACCGATTTTGATGAAATTTTTTGTGTGTGTTCAAGGAATGTCTGGATGGATCTGATGGATCTGAGAATGGTTTAGATTCGCAAAGACGTGTAGACAGGACAACGTCTGTCGGGTCCGCTAGTATATAAGTATATTTATATAGAAATACATATTAAACATCCATGACTGGAGTACAAATGCTCGTATTCATCACACAAACATCTGCCCCCACCGGGATTCGAACCCGGGACCTCTGGAGTCGGCGACAGCCATGAAACCCAGCGTACAAACCACTCGGCCACGGAGGTCGTCAATAACAACATGATTATGAGATAAAGGGGTATTTAATAGAAACATTTTTGATGTGTAATAATATCTTTTCTCTCGCTTTCCTACAATTTTTGGGAATGATTTTGTGAAATGGGACGGAAGTGTGTAACAGGAAGTCGCGAAAGCGCACTCTATTCGATTTGATTTTAGAACATAATGTTCATATGGCTTATTCCTTTTGTAGTAGGTTTTATTGCTTTTTTTACTAATATAAGGTGAGGTTTCAAATGTTACACATCATACGCGACTACTGTAAGGCTCGCTCGTTTTTTTTTCTAGCTAACAAGAGGAGCTCGATAGCCCGGGTAGTTAGCACGTTCGGCTGCGATCGTTGAAGTTAAGCAACTTTCGCAGTGGTCGGTCTTTGGATGGGTGTCTAAAAATCTTATATCTCGAGTTCCTCCGTATTTTGGAAAGCACGTTAAGCCGTTGGTTCCTGCTGGATCTGCAGTCGTTAGCACCCGCCAATCCACACTGGACCCGCGTGGTGCCTATCTCCCTATTCCATCCATAGGGGAGGCCTGTGCCCTAGCAGTAGGGACATTAATAGGCTGATGATGATTATATATTTTTTCACCTTAGCAGCTCAAACATACTGGGTTCCCTGCTTAATAAGAGTGAGGGAAATGCGTTTTCCCTGCGAGAGTGAGGGAAAGTGATTTGAATTTAGAATGCTGCGAATTATCGTTATGTACGAAACACGTCATTCGAATAAAACTAGTTTTTACGGGTTAATGCACGAAACTTTATTTATTTATTGACGATTCGTAGCCTTTACAGGCTAATCACAAATTAATGTGATGTGCGTGAAAACCTAAGAAACAAATACGTCATTCGAAGTTCGATTTATCAAATTTCAGAATACCCAAACAATAAAACGTTCGGAAACTAATAAACCTTTAAAATGAAAATTATTTGGTAACGTTGTAATTAAATATCTAATTAAATAATAAAATATAATGAATACACTGAAACAAAGAAAAAAATAAAGAAAATGTTTAGAAAAAATACGAAGTAATTATGCACAAATAATTTATAGTTTTGAAAATCTTTATTGGTACAACAGAATACTACGGGTGCAGTTTCAGAACGTAACTTTAAAAATAGCGGGAAACAAAAATCAATATTATTTCTTCTTCTTTTGTTTTTCGGTAAGTAACTACTTACAATTAGTGTTGCATATCACAAATTCATAAAATATGAGTGAGTCTCATTACGAAAACAGCAACTTAACACCTGAAGAATTAAAACAACAAGTGTTGAATGCTGAATTCAGTTTTCTTCCTCAGAAATCATGTGATAGATATCTGAAAACCTATGATGTTTTCAATAAATGGAGACTTGAAAAGGGCGTAAACACTTTCTCGGAGAATGTATTATTGTCGTACTTCATAGAATTATCACAAACGAAGCAATCACCTACAATGTGGAGTATTTATTCGATGTTGAAAGCTACAATAAAGACGAAACATAATGTTCATATTGAAACTTATCCCAAACTTATTGCATTTTTGAAAAGAAAGTCAGTAGGACACAAATCTAAAAAGTCCAAAAGTTGTCATTATTGGAATAAATTGAGCATGCCGCTCGAACGAACTGTTAAATATGACTGTTAATGCCATCGAAAAACATTCTGACGAACAGCTATTAGTCAACCTACCCAACACAAAAACAAACATTGACAGGTCCTTTGTTATTCGCGACGAATATGTGAAAATTGTCCAGAAATATAAGGCATTACGACCTGATAATACGAAAACAGATCGATTTTTCTTGCAGTATCGTAATGACAAGTGTTCAAGACAGCCTATGGGAATCAATAAAATAGGCGGGACACCACAACAAATAGCCACTTTTTTAAAATTACAAGAGCCTCACCTTTACACTGGACATTGCTTAAGGCGAACTTCGGCCACGTTTTTGGCTGATTCAGGAGCCAACCTCACAACATTAAAACGTCATGGCGGCTGGAAGTCAAACACGGTCGCGGAAGGATATATTGAAGATTCGATCGAAAGTCTAAAACCAGTAAACGCATAATACAAAGCATAAACTTTAAACCTGATCCTTATGCACACCCGCGCCCCTCTACTTCCAAAGACACAAATATCATTGAAAATTCGGTAAGAAGCCGCACAGAGTCGCCAACGTTTACTAATAGTATTGTCTCGTCACAGTCCAATAAAGAAATAGAAACGAACTCGAGTCAAACTCAAATCGCAAACTCCACGGTATCACTTCCTAATAAAACTATAAATTTCAAAATACAACTTTTAATAACTGCAATTTTAAATTTTAGTAGATACTTATTGTTTGCAAATATATGTGGTTTCATTTTTATTCATATTGTATACTTTTATCTCTAATAATGTTCTCGCTGCTAAGGTGAAAAGTTGTATGTGTCACGCGAGAGAAAAGTTATTTCCATCTCGTACCTTAGAATCCCTCGCTTACTCGGGATTCAAAATTAGCACTCGCTTGGAAAACCAACTTTCCTCTCTAGTTGTAACATAGTATCCATGTGTGGTTATGAGTAGTCATGCTTTCTTAAAAATCTCTTCGGTGGTGTTGTGAGAGGCGGGTCGTTGCGTTCCCTAAAAAATGGTTGAGCGAAGCGATGGCTGGTTCATGCGTCATGCTCGTGAACGGGTGCTGCCAGCGGAGATGAGTCTGCTCTTGCTTCATTGGGTACTATTAATCGTTGTACTAAGCTTTAATCGTTAATTTTTTTTCTGCCTAAACAGCCTTAAGGAAGATCCCACACAAAAACATGCCTCTATAAAGAATCTGTCACCGCTGATCTGCCAACCGAAGCAGTAAATGGCAACTCAGATCTGTCAAAATACAACTTTAAATGTAGATATGAGTAAAGAATATGAATTATTTCTTACTTTTAGTGGTAATGTTTTTATGTAGTCGGATTTTAAGTAGGTAAGTTAGACAATTTCTCCCATATTCATCATCTTCAAAAAGTAAACATTTATTCACCGCCATCGCCTAACGCTACACACAGTAGTTGTCAGGAATATACTAATAATAAATAACTTTAAGAAAATTTTACTAGAAATAAATTCCACGCGGAACAGACAGCAGACGGGACTCGAACCCGCACCCTTCGCTATCCGGGCGAATGTACTGACCATTATGCTACCGCGGCCCTGACAGTGGAATGTGGAAATTTCTTAGCATTTCTTAGGCTGCAAGACAGCTCTATCCCTTCGTATTGTAGGTAACCCACAATGTGTTTTTTCTAGTAAAATTTTCTTTAGATTTAAAGATTAAACTAGCAGTTAAATGCTTGCAAAATTTAAATATCGCACCTTTAGAATTGAAGTGACTTAAATAAAAAAAATAGCAAAATAACTTTTAAACGTGGAAAGACATAAAAACATGTATTCTATCAGTTTATTAATAATAAACAGGCTCTTTTAGGCCAGAAGAAGACAAACGTACTATTTCCGTCTCTTTTAAATGACACGCATACCGCGCTTCCCTCAGTATTGAAGTACCCCATTCAGTGTTGCGTGGACATTTATTTAATTTTTCTTTAATTTAGAAAATCCTTAATTATTAAATACTAGCATTTTACAAAATTGGTCATCTATCAAATATATAACATCAGAAATGAATCGCCTCTATTAAATAGTTACGTTTTTGATTAACGTTGTTTAGTAAAAAATGGGCACAAAGTGAAATAAGCCAATTATAATAAACTGTTTTCGGAAAATAAGTGACATGTTTTTTTTGATGATTAATTAACAAAGGTTCTAATTAGTTATACAGACTGGTTTAGTAAATAATCGTGAAAACAATTCCTATCTTACCATTATCAACAAAAAATATGATAATAAACATACAACTTATAGGATTATAATAGAAAAACAAAAAAATGGCCAACTTGTCAATCACATTTATAGCGTGTACCAAAAAACAAGAATTTTGGATTAAGTCACTTCAATTCTAAAGGTGCGATATAACAAATAACTTCCTGTATCGGCGTTATGCTTACTCTTCAATAAAGCTCAGTTGTTTATGGAATAATGCGGATATTGCAAATATAATTACAAAATAAATCAAATTAAACGAAAATTGCGAAAGAAAAGTTGAGCGTACAAATTTTGAATTGAGTAGAGAGTGACAAGTATAGAGGGGGGTTTTTTAATCACGTGGTTCAAAGCTGCTTCTACTGGTAGAAATGGAGCGACGTTCCGGTGTAGGCAGAACTTCTTAATCATGCGTTAACACTTACCATTAGGCGTAGAATCCGCTTTAGTTAGTAACCGCAGACAACTCGCAAGACTCGGTAGAGATACGGGCAGTAATTCGCACAGAGTCGCGTAGTGATCGTACCTTTAATATGAAAATATCTAAATTTAATTTATAATATAAACATTTATATATAGCGCATGAAAAATTTTAACATCTAACGTGAGCCGGTGCCAACGCCTTTACCAACGCACGGAGGAGCTAAAGATAGTAAATATTCGGTCACCCATCTTAAGACCGGCCATTGCGAAAGTTGCTTAATTTCCACGATCGTAGATAGACTGCGCTAAAAATTTAAGTTACCGAACTACTTAAGCCAAGCTTATTAATAAGATGGTAATCGGTGAATTCACTAACTATTGTTAAGTAATAGGCTTCATTAAATTTGAAGAATAAAAGAGCTCGATATATTGGCCTCAATAAATAAATATAAATTAATATTTCCAACACTCACACCAATTAGCATTTCGTCAGCTTACAAAATGCTGACATTGTATCAAATAAGAGTTTCTTGCCGTCTCCCGCCTTAGATTTGCGAACCAATAGGGTATTTGACAAGTTTTAGAAAATGATCTCACGTTATTTACTAATGTTTATAGAGTACATAAAAGGATATTCATCATTATGTCGTGTATTGCGGTAAAAAAACTAAATCACAAACTCTATTTTCAAGTTGCAGCGAAAAACGTATCTCTGGACAATATGGCGTCTCACTGGTGTGTGACGTCACATGACTGCACAGTGTTTTATAGAACCAAAAATATTTACACCTTAAGGTTTTTGCATAAATCAATTATTTAAACCCTAATAAAGGCAAGAGTTTAATTCCCAGATCACTATTTTAAGTAAAAAAAAAGATATGAAGTAGCAAAATTTTTTGAAATTTGCGCATGAAAAAATTAACAATTTAATTTCCTCAAAAGACGGTTCCATATCTGTCCATGAGATATTTGCCAATTGCTAAGGAATTATTGATGGCATAATTTTGTAATTTTATTTTATTTATAAGTGTCCTAGTTTCCAAGAAATATAGTTTTTTTAAATTTCGATTTTTAATTTTTTTCTCCAAAAATCGGCAAAAGTGGAACCTGGATTTAGCACAGAAAGGTGCTATAAGTCAAGTTCTATCACCCATAAAAAAATGAAGTTTCACTTTTGCGGTTTTAAGAAGTTATGACAGAATTTAGATAAAGGTCAACTTTCATGATCTAGGGTTGTCACAAAGGTCAACTATGAGTTAAATGAAAATGTTTTTTTTTTTGTTATTAATACCGTCAATCAATTGAATAAATTATATTATATTATAATTGAATAAGTGTTGTACTTATAGACGAATACAATATACTTACATATACTACCTACCTAATGTAGATGTGATAATGTAGGAATACTTTATGTTTTAATTTTGACGACCACATTTTAATTTTGCCTTACACGCTAAATGGCAACGAAAAAATAAACTATGTTGTTTGAAAAAATTTAACACACATCCTATACTATAAACGAGCAATTATTGTATGTACCTATATAAATATATTGGTATGTAATTGGTTTCTCGGAAACGGATCTAACGATTGTGATGAAATTTTGGATTTAGAAATTCATTCACATTTAAAATCAATCTAGGATAGTGTCATCACCTGCCGGCACCTTCTTTATGCAACACCTCTACTTTAACTTTTATACAAATAAATCATCTTCGTTTAATAATTCTAGGTTGCTTTCATTTGCGACGTTCGAAAAATCTTCATCTTCAGCATCTTCCTCTGCTTCGAATAACGGCAATCGATCTGCATCAATTGGTTGTAAGAGCTCGCAAGCAGCTGAAGGCAAGGGAAATCGCTTAGAATATTTTCGACGTTGGCTGATATTTGCCATAGAAATAAACGGGTCTGATGATTCTAGGGCACGGTGAAAGAGGTCCGTCATTGTGGTTCTCCTGTTCATTTTTCAGCAATGATGCTCTCTGTCTGAACGCTAGAATTTATTTCGGGACTCAGCTGCTTGTTCAGATAGCATACCGATGGGCAGTGCGCTGGACGCAATAATTTCTTCACCGTGCATGAGGATTTTATGAACTGTTACTGTCATCGGGTGCCAACTATAAAAACGGACATATTTTTCAACCCTAGATCATGAAAGTTGACCTTTATCTAAATTCTGTCATAACTTCTTAAAACCGCAAAAGTGAAACTTGATTTTTTTATGGGTGATAGAACTTGGCTTATAGAACCTTTCTGTACTAAATCCAGGTTCCACTTTTGCCGATTTTTGGAGAAAAAAATTAAAAATCTAAATTTAAAAAAACTCTTGGAAACTAGGACACTTATAAATAAAATAAAATTACAAAATTATGCCATCAATAATTCCTTAGCAAGTGGCAAATATCTCATGGACAGATATGGAACCGTTTTTTGAGGAAATTAAATTGTTAATATTTTCATGCGCAAATTTCAAAAACTTTGCTACTTCATATCTTTTTTTTACTTAAAATAGTGATTTGGGAATTGAACTCTTGCCTTTATTAGGGTTTAAATAATTGATTTATGCAAAAACCTTAAGGTGTAAATATTTTTGGTTCTATAAAACACTCGGTGTCAACCCTAGCATAAAAATTTAAAAATTAATATCTTCTAAACGCCGCAAAAGTGACACGTGGCTTATTTATGTATGATAGACCACATCCGTAGGTTTATTTCTATCTAAGTTCTAGGTTCCACTTTTTCGTTTTTAGGGAGAAAAAACAATAAATACGAAATACAAAAAAAAAATTGCTGCTCCCAAACCAATGCATTTTTTTAAGCTAAAGAAACGCGTTTATACGCCTCTGATTATGCCTGATTGACACATATTTATTAAAAAAATATATTGTTAATATTCACTTTATAAAAAAATATTCTAGATTTCATAGGTCAAAGGTCACGATAAGTTCATGATTTTTTTTCTCAAAAAGTATTTGAGTTAGACTTCTGTAAATTGAACTCATGCCTTTTTTAGGTTATAAATAATCTATTTATGTAAGAACCTGAACACGTAAATTTTTTTGGTTCCATAAAACACTGTGGACTGTCATTAAAACGTCAAACCATATAATCTAATGTCACTTTAGCCGGAAGTTTACTTGCGTGTGACGTCATTTTAGGCTCCACCAATCCCAAGCGTTGTGGGTCACGTGACAAAAGACAAGAAAGCTATTGTCTTTATCGTGGGTTTTTAGGAAAATTATGAATATTTTTTCTGTAAAAATAGTAAAAACTGCCAATATTCATTCTAAATAAAGATGCTAGCAATTTGCACTTTATTTTTAATACTGTCAAATACCCTATTGCGTAGCTTTTAACTTTTACATGTGCTTGTGAAAACCTAAATTAGCGAAATGAATTTTAAATTTGAAGAATGAAAGATTAAATTTGATTTAAGTCTCTGTGCGGGTCTATGTGTGAGTGAATAACATGAGTGAATCCAATAAATAAATCTATCTACCATCTAACTTACCTAGACCATCCAGTTAGGATTATACCACCAAACTTCACTCTAGGTGAATGCCTTCTGATCTCTTCTATCCAAGCCTCGTGATTGCTTACGTAACGATTCACCGGAGACAGTATCTACGAAAATGAGAAAATTATTTGTGTTTGCATTGTTTTAAATTTTCTGGTCACTAACATTATAGCTATTATTAACGGGATTGTTATCATCAGGGCCGTCTTTAACCTATTGGAGGCCCTGGACATATTAGGATAATGGGGCCTATATGACTTTGATGTGGATTATGACTTGAAATGGAGCGAGTCATACTGATGAGTGTACTACTGATAATTTTTCTTTAAAATGTGTATGTGCTGAGTATTATATGTATATTAAAATTTATCGAAGCATGCTGAAGTCAGAAAGCCAAATTGTTGGCCGATAGTAGAATAGCTTAGCTTATGTAAAAGCTAGTAAGTTGGTATTGTAGTCAGTAATTTAGATTCGATTTCTTAATATTATATAAGTTTTTTGGTAATAAATATTGGTTATCATTTGGTGATCTGACAGGAACTAGGGACTTTGTATTTGATCTGAGGGGGGCCTCTATCGATCGCGGGGCCCTGGGCACTTGCCCAAAGTACCCACTGGAAAAGAGGGGTCTGGTTATCATGTTTTTTATGAGTCTCCGATATTTCGGCACTAGAATCCAGTCGTTTATGCAAAAACCACAAAAATCAAGTGTCGTTCCGCGGTCTGACACTGTAGTATCGTGTCGGTAACAAGTGCGACTGAATAGTGGGAATTTGACCAGTGGTAGAGGTAACGAACGCAATAAAAGATGACGTCAGAGGGTAGACCGATATGTCTGCCAATAACATCTACCCGCAATCACTTCACTTACTCCGTGATTATGGCGCTTTCAACAGTGCCCAAATATTGGAGACTCATAAAAAACAAGGTACATGGTAACAATGCCGTTAATAGCTATAACTAGCAAACCAGTGAGCCAAATGTTCACCAAAACCTGATTTAAAAAAAAATGTATTTAATTGATTGAGAACTTCGGAGATTTTGTGTGGTTTCGTTTGAAATTCGTGATTTCTCGAAAACCGGAAGTGCTACGTTACTCAAATCCGGTTTGTAGTCTTATCAGACTATTCTTAACTTTTAACTTAAATATTCTCTTTATCTATCTCTTACGGTTTGGCCGCTGAAACAGCACCACAGACGGACGGACGGACTTGTCTAATAGATAAGAGATGTTAGTGACAATGAAATTTTTTAAACAATGTGAAGACAAATAAACGATATCGTCGAAATCTGCCCCAGAATGCACAAACGAATGTCCTACACTATCAATTTTCTTTTTTTTTTATATTATTAAAAATTAATCATAGTAAGTAAATGGACATTCTTTAGTCAAAATTAAAAATTAATAGTTCTGTAACTACTACACAATTTCCTGTCATTCTTAGAGCCTTAATAGACTGTCTCATCTAAATTCAAAAGGGTCTTGAAAGAGGTGCGGTTTAAAATAGGGACAATTAGACCACACAATTTCATGCGTGCGATATCTTAGCTGTCTTGAAATCGTGAGTCAGCGGGCTATTTACTAGGTACCTACCTTCCTTAGTTAATAACACTTATAAATAGTATTTATATCATATTTATAGGAAGATAATTTCTGAAATTCTGTAAAGATAGTTTATACGCCCATCCCATATAATATTTATTTATTTTTATGAAACCAGGTAATATAATAATAACCAGTTACATACCTAAATACCAATAATAAAATATATAAACAGGTAAATGGAAAGCCTTTAAACATTTCATTTGAAAATAAAGAAATAGAGTCTTTATCAACTATTCCTATAAAAAAAATACCTGACAGCTTCCGTTTGCCCCTTTGAATGCAGAAGCGGCCCACACTTTGGGGAATAGCTGTCGATAAGTTTCCCACAACTGGTCGCTTATACGGAAGAATTCCTTCGAATTGTAGTCCCACACTACGGGCTGAACTAGATTGCATAACTCATACTCTGGAACAAAAGACTAAATCTAAAGAAAATGTTACAAAAAATTCAAAATATAAACTAATCCTACAATGCAAAGAGATGGCGCTGCCTTGGAGCCTAAGAAAATGCTAGAAGAAATTCGACACGGCCATTAAAGTGGTGACAGCATAAGGGTGACAAATCAACATCGAGCTATGCTGCGCTGTACTGCGTTGTGCTATGTTTGGTCAACTCGCTCGTCCAATATTTTAATGAGGATACAAACAAACCTGAGGAGCTCGATGGCGCAAGTGGTTAGCGCGTTCGGCTGCGATCGTTGAAGTTAAGCAACTTTCACAGTGGTCGGTCATTGGATGGGTGACCGAAAATTTATTATCTCGAGCTCTTCCGTGCTTCGGAAGGCACGTTAAGCCGTTGGTCCCGGCTGCATCTGCAGTCGTTAGCACCCGCCAATCCGCACTGGGCCCGCGTGGTGGGTCATGGCCCAATCTCCCTATTCCATCCATAGGGAAGGCCTGTGCCCCAGCAGTGGGGACATTAATAGGCTGATGATGATGATGATGACAAACAAACCATGCTGTGCTGCGCTGTGTAAGGCTACGCTCTGTTTAAAAACGCAGCAGTCTCGAGCGAGGCGCGCTACCCGCCGTGCTGAGCCGCGCTGTGCCGTACTGTGCTATGTTTATTATTGAGCTCCGCTATGCTGCGCTGTGTCGGGCTGTGCTTTATTTGCAAAATTTTACGTTTATTTATGTTTACGTTTTTTTGAAAATGAAGTCATTTTTGACGAGATAAACGACTTCACGAGCTGCTGATTACTTTTAATACTGAGCTAAGCAAAGCGCAGTTGATTGTTAAAAAAACGTAGCTCAAGAAACACAGCACAGCGCAGCATAGCTTGATGTTGATTGTTAAAAAAAAGGTAGCTTAAGAAACACAGCACAGCATAGCGCAGTACAGCGCAGCATAGCGCAGTACAGCGCAGCATAGCTCGATGTTGATTTGTCACCCTAAGCGTTCAGTGCATCCGCCCGTATAGCGGAGGGTGCGGGTTCGAGTCCCGACTAACTCCTGGACCGCCTGGATTTTTTCTAATAAAAATTTCTTAAATTTAAACATCAAGCAGTTAAATGCTAAGAAAAATAGTAAAAAACAAAGAAAATATTTACTACAGAATCAAATCATCATCATAATCAGACTATATCCCCCTCGTCTGTGTAGCCATCTACTTTGTTTTTCAGGGAAATCGGCCGATTTTCCTACTAATTCTACTGTACATCCAGGCTTCATTTATGTTCAGAATAGTTTCTCTACAAATTTATCTATATATTAGACGGGTAAATTAAAAACCATTACTAAATACTTATGATAAAATGCAAAATACGAAAAATGCAAATATGAAAATAATTTTCTCAACCCCCGACAGAAATCATCCACTGACACAGAGGAGGGGATAATAGCCCCCAATGCTGGGAAACGGTATTAGAAGAATGGACCATGAAATACCACAAGAGCTGAGTATGGATTGGTGTGTGTTAAGGACTGCAGATACAATCGGAAGTGTTACTTCTTTTTATAGATAGGTCCGACAAATGACTCCACCCCACCTGATGTTAAGTGAAGTCCAGACGCGAAGATAACTGATACAGCAGTTCTACCTGCCACACCAGCCATCCTCACCCTGCCGGCCTGCATGTTGCTTCTTCACGCCTCTTTTAAAAGATCCCAGGTTGTAAGAGGGAGGGAACACGTGAGCGGCAGAGCATTCCATTTACGGATAGTACGACAAAGAAATGAGTCATCAAATGTCTTTATACGCGTTGGAATTGTAGCCACAGTTAGACGGTGACAAAGTAAGCCAGCGCGCGTGGTCCTCTAGTCCCCACCACTCCCAAATATTGACCCGCTTTATCTTTGTTTAGTTGATTGACAAAATAAAATATTTAGTATCGTTTACTTTTTGATAATCTAACTGACCACTTATTAAAACCAATATTAATTTACGTTTACTTTTTCCCATCATCATCCCTAACGCCCAAAATGGGAATGGTATAATTACCATTACTTACCATACGAGCCGAGTGTGGATTGAGGTTGCTAACGACTGCAGATACAGTCGGAATCAAACCAAAATTAATACCTGCTAACTGAAAAAGTACTTAGTAATTTGTATACCCATTTACTTACTTTTCAACACATCTACACTTATATTTCTCAGCATATCATCCCACATGAGGATAGTTAAATTCTGTTTCTTCCTTTTAAGGTACATCGCAATATCTTGAATATGATCTAAGTAAAGTGCTGCCGCTTTGTGCTCATGCGTTGCTGCCTTCGTTTGACATTCTGGGCACACACCCATATGCCATACCTAGAACCATGAAACAGTTTGGATCAGGATTGTTCTACCGTTATTTGTGTAAATGTCATTACTGTTGTTAGGTCTACTTTTGTTGGATCTCTTTTGCATGTCTCGCTTTTCATCTAATGAGAAGTGGGTGCGGCTGAAAACCAGCGCCGTCCGAGAACTTCCATAACGAAGCAGTTTATGCTAGGCCACATCCATTTGCTCTTCACACTGTCATATAGCATTGTACTATGTATTGAACAGTGAGAGCAATAAAAATATTTCTATCTCTATTCTATTGTCAATTCAAAAAGTTTTAGTAATAACAGGAAGAAATTAATACAATAGACTTTTCACCATGGTATTAAGGTTTACTAATACTGTTTGCTCTAATTTATTACATAACCATCTTTTGTTCACATTATTAGCAAATAAAGAATTTTTGAATCAGTCGACCGAGTCAATCTGTGGGAAATCTAAGAAAGCCTATGGGTTCGACAATCATAACAAACAATTCGACAAACCTACGCCTAAGAAGCCTTTCTTCTAAAGTAAACAACCCTTTCCCACCGCAATGAAACTATGAAAAGAGAAAAATGCCACATCGAGTCCATTTCTCAAAGTAGGTATTGAAACTTCGACAGATTTGGCAACTTGCCTATAGATCTCACAGAAGAAGACAACATGAAACCAAAAATTTAAAAGCCTAGTGAGCCAACAATTATCTATGTGGTGTGGGAGTTGCAAAATAACCGACGCGTCTGTCGCAACAGAACTATTGACAACTGTTGCTAGAAAAAATCAGTATACTCGTAAGATAATCAACCAAAATCAATGAAATGGTCGTCGACAAAGAACCAATCTCTCTTATTCGAGAAAAAGGAGTAATAGGTCACACATTTCATAGAAAAGACTAAAAGCCCTACAAAAAAGTTATCCGCAATCTACACCACTTTTGGCGATCACAGAAGCAGTGGAATCTACTGATAGCAAAGTATGAATATCACTGGAAACATGTAATATTTTACCCAACCATTAATTTAGATATAGGCAAAGACACTCAACTATAGAACAAGTGCAACGAGTTACAGAGAACATTGGAGATTTAGATAAAAAAGAATACTACTCAGCGGCCTTTCTAATATACAACAAACCTTTGACAGGGTGTGCCACCACAAAGGTCTCCTTGGCATAATAAAAAACAATATTCTACATAGCTACTACAAAATAATTGAATCTTATTTGGCTGTTTTTTTCAGGTAAAAGAATCGGGAGAAACTGCCACTTTTCACGCATTTAAGGTGGGCGTTCCACAGGGATAAGTCTTGGGTCCTATATTATATAACGCTTATGTGCTGGGAGTAACAACAGCTACAAAAGCTGATGAGACCGCAATAATTGTTTGTAATAATAATAAAGCCGCAGCATCAGTGGACCTGCAGAGGGAGCTTGATGAGATAGCTAATGGTTGAATAAATAGAAAGTAAAAGTGAGTGTTACGATGGAGCTCTGAAAGGAGCGCTTGACAGATAGCACAACATAAGACGGTACTGAGGACTGCACAGCTCACACTAGAAGTGCACTGCTTGCTAATGTGCGCACCTGAATGTTCTCCTCCTGCTGACCCAAGACACCAGAGAAACCGGTCAGCACCCCCAAACTGGTTTCTTGAGTATAGTCGGACTCCTTGGACTAAGCAGCTATAGTTCTGACTATGCTGGGCAGCGACAAGTCATGGGAGGCTGTGGCCGTAAGAGTCCGCGAGGCGCAAGCCCACGTGGGCTCTATTAGACACGAGATGCGGCTATTAGCCTTCCCACTGATCGGATAGTCCGCCCGTGACTGTAAACGGTCCTGTTAAGGACCAACTATAAAAAGCCCTATTAGAGCCAAGGTGGCAGCGCTGCTTTAGGTGGGTGACTACTAGTCATGACGGAGGGCAGTCACTGAATGGCTCTAACACAGAGCCACAGGGGGCGGGAGAGAGACGGAGAGAACTACGCTCTGCCTCCCACTCCTGTGAGAGCCGTGGGTCTGCCTCGGGGTGGGAGGGCTCTCATTGCACAAACTCTCTGGAGCATCTTCCTTGGGGTGGGTTTACGGACAATCACCTTGCGAGTGCGTGGCTAGCTGGAAATCAAGTGCCACGATCACACCTGCAATCCCGGAATGCATTGGGGGGACCTCGGTCCTCATAATGTATGCCGGTTGACCGGTGCAGGAGTATGGTCTGGTCCAAGGGTCGGCTTCATTCAGCCGACAAGAGACCCAGATACCTTCTTTTCGGGGTGGTTGAAGGATGCATAAGACATTTTCCAGGTATTAAAAAAATAAATCAACTAAATGGAGATAATACCCTGCCATACAAAGATTATGTCAAATATCTCAAGATACACCTTGACCATAGGCTAACACGAAAAACAATATCAAATCCAGATGGGAGAAGCTAAATATAAAATTTATTTAATTTTGTAAAATAATATAAAAAAAATATGTGAATTTGACAGCAGTATCAGCTCATCATGCTCTATAGGGAAGGACAGGAAAGGAAAGGTTGCAGAAAAATTAACAAAAAGTAAACAAGATTGGATAAGTGAAGTGCCAGCATTTCAATTATTCACATTCGCAAAGTATTCTTCGCTTATTATAACCATTTGCGTTGCGAACAAAAAGATGGACAGCTATAGCAAAACAAGGGAGAAATAAGAGTTTTTTTTTGTTAATTTCGGAACACAAAAACAGAGTCAACTTTTCGCATCTGCTTTGGTAAATGATAAAAAATAAACATTTATTTATTTATTTACACAATATAATCTAATATCAATTTTGAAATTGTACTTTAGCCAATTACAGAAACTCACTTTGTGTTCAATTCACAAAATTAAAATGATTACTTTGGGTAGAAATTACAATTAATGAAAATAAATAAAGGTTTGTTGCGATATAAATTCATGGACTTTATAAAATGCGGTACATTTTGTATTGCATTTAATTTTATAAAGTCTGAGATAAATACTTGATCCTTAGAATTAGATTAACAGTATATCATAATATCATATTAAGTTTTCACTTCAAATATATAAATAATCCAGATTTCAAAATTTGATAACAAAACAAAGTAGAGTAATAAAAAAAAACAAATATCAACACCTTGTCAAACTGAAGGCAGTTCCTTCTAACACAATTAATAATGATACATTTAATAATAATAATCAATGTGCTAAAGTGTCATTATTAATGTTGATTCTCTTAACTTAAAATAAAATTTAACATTGATTTCTCCTTTTCATTCTGTATCGATAATGACAAGGATACACTGTTGTCAAATTTAATTTTAGGATAGGAGAGAGAGATAAGATTCAACAGTATTGTTTACCTCATCAGCCCCAATATGTAAATATTCTGCATCAGGTTGTGCATTCAGTGCTTGATCTAGCATCGCTCTCACAAGCTGCTTCGATTCTGGTTTAAGAGGGCAGAGAACCGCTGGTGACTGCTTGGCTTCCCTCATCTTCTGGTATTTAGGGTGCTTAAGCACAAATTCCATGTGACCTATAGTTTGTATAAGTTGAATCTGTAAGTAGTTGCATCTATTAGATATCTGACAGATTGCAGACATTTAATGAACCAATCGTCATGCTCTTAAACACAACATTATTTTAATATATAGGCTGATTCATAAATTTTATTGATTATTAATAATACAGGTTCATTATTGATGTTAAAGTACAACCAATAATGCCACCACATTAAAATATGTATAAAAATTTTACTGATAGTGGCAGACTACAAATTTTTCTGAAAATAGTAAATCAATAATATCAGTAATATAAATCAATTAAAAGGCAACCACATTTGCCGTTAACAACATGTTTTTAGAGAATCTCTTGGGAACTGAAACTTTTTTCAGAATATAAAATATCCTTTGACTCAAACTAGATCATAAACTTAGGCCTGTATTATAGAAAGATTCTTATTAATGAATCTAGTCTTGAGCATAGTCAGAAAGGGATAGTGCTATGTACAGCAAAGAGCGACATCCCTTTCTAACTGTACTCAAGTAAAGATCAACACTTAGTTGTTATTCTGTAATACGGGCTTTAGTGTGCCAAATTTCATCCAAGTTCATTCAGAAATTTTGCATGGTTGAGTAACAAACATGCATAAACTTTTACATTTATAATATTTCTAAGATAAAACTCACAGCCAACAAGCCATTATCTTTAGCAAATTGAAAAATATGTTTGACTTCATCCTGAAGGTAAACACCGTCCCCTCCGCTCCCGCCCTGGCTACCTATGTCCACTAACTCCCAAGTGTATGGGAAAGTATCTTCCCATTCCAGAAGAACACCTGTTGCTCCCCATGATTTTATACATAGAAGCACCTGAAACCACCATTATAATAAGCAAAGCAGTTTTGTTAATATGAGATGAGATGATGATGAAATGAGATTATTTTATGCAGTTTTTTAAGTTATAAACAGTTGTGCTTGTTATAAATACCTATAACTTTTAGAAAATTTTATTATGAAGTGATTAAGTTGCTCATCCCCCGATTATTTGTTCTATCTTGTACACATACAATCTTCTAAAACACTGTAATTAAATAAAATGTTCACTTACTTTTTCTAGATATTCAACTTTGGGCGGCGCCCCTTTCAAATCCAAGTGAACAATTCTACAAACAGAGGATTTATGTTTGATCAGGTTTATACAGTGCAACAACGACGTTGCATCTCATAATTACAGAAGAAAAACGGGTAACAGATTTATTTAAAAAAGGAAGACTTTTACCAACAGTATAATTTTTGATGTCAATAAAAATAGCGTTACAGGTAGCTTACCTATGCATTTTCAATTATTATCGAATTTATTCAAAAGTGCGCCCTACAGCCAACACTAAAAGTAGTTTTCTTCAAATCTTTTTGTTTAAAGTTGATTGTGATTTGATTTTTGTAGTTTTCTTCGCTCCTAAAGGCGACGTACCGAATCTACACTCCGAGTTTTTATTAGTACGATACGATGCAATAATAGATAAGTAGTTAAAGATCGCGCCAATCTTCTAGTCCGCTCTTTTGATTCTAATACTTTAATTATTTAAGTTACTCAATTATTGTATACTATTATATTTATACCATTTTACAATTTATTGTTTTGTTCTCTAGCAATATCGTACAGGCCCTGCCAGATTACCAACGCTATTATGGTGGGAATATTTCCTTTCCACTGTCACAGCAATAACGTGCGCAGGGTCCTGATTGGCCATTCTTCTTCTTCCGTTTTGTTACTCTGTTTGTTTTTATATTTATCATTACATTTTATTGTTATTCTTTATACCTGGTGTGTATGGCCAATTAATGCTTTTTCTTTTTGAAGTTATACTTCTTTAGGCGCGTTATGAAAAAATGATGAGAGTGAAATTTTAAGATGCGCGCGCATCACTGTAACACAAAATTTTAACAGCATGAAGTTGGTCGCTTTAGCGACCAACTTCATGCGTTACTTTTGTGTTTATCGCACATTAAGAAAATCTACCAACAAAATAGAAATAGAATCTCTATTTATTGGGTGTTAACGACTGCATTGTGAAGGCCTATCAAAAGTATTTATTAATCTGGAACAACGGAACCAAAGCGCGATTCAGGAGACTACAGCGCCATCTCTTGACCATTGGTGTAGTAGAACCAAAAACCACATCTTTATTTTTTGTAATAAAGTAACAGTTATTATGTTATTATGGTATTCATATTTATAATATTTATCCACATGTTTCTAGTTTGTATATTCGGAATACGTGTTTGAGTTTCATACAAGTGCAAATCACATATTATTATGTTCTAATAAATTATATTCAGTAGCGATTTTAATTGAATATTTTGATTATTTATTTATTTTTTCAAATTAAAACTGAACTTTATTGACTGTGTCCTTTTCCAGACTTTTTATTAATTTATTGTAATTAATTATTTGCATGCAATTAAAAACTAATTTTAAACGATGCCAAAGAAGGATAACTTCTCACGCGCCTACATAAGTACTCATTTTTTTTTTTCTTGCTTGCCCGTTTGTCTGATCAACTGGTCGAAGTACTTACGAAACTTATCGGGACACTTGGCCTGGACAACACAAAATAAGTGTTAATATTTCTCTTCCATTCCTTTCCTATTGAATAACTCTCGTTTTCATTCCATTCTTACATCTGTCCTCTCAGAGCTGGTTCCCACTTGTCGGGTGTCGGATCCGTATATTAAATGGATGTCGGTGCCCTTGTTCACACACACGATTAATAATCGGTTGTCGGTCACGGTTAAAGCTTTAACCAATTGTAGGCACTCTACGCGAGGCGACTGTTCACGATGGACGTTGACGTAGTTCTTGTTATGATGTTCCTATTATTGTTTATGAAAACAAAGAAAGACAGCCATGGAAAGTAAATATTGGGTGCACATATTCCTGAGGGAAAGATTCGATTTTGGGTAAATTTGAGAACTTAATAACAGTATGGAGAAGTGACGAAATTAAGTGTTTCAATTATTTAAGAATGTCAATGGTGTTGATTCTGCCGTGATTCTCTTAACTTAAAACTAAATTTAACATCAGTCTCTCCTTTTCATTCTGTATAGAGAATGACAAGGATGCACTGTTGTCAAATTTAAGTTTACCTTTAGCGAATCATGCCAGAATCGACATCAATATCAACATTCAACGATCTACCGACTCAAATCTTAGTGAACATAATCTACCAAAATACAGGACGTAGAGACTGCATTTGTACTGAAAAAGGGTTGCGTTACGGACGGAACAAGGGGTAGCGGGGGAGGATAGTCAGCCCCGACACCCGACAAATATGAACAACGCCATTCTTAATCATAGGCGAGCGAGATCCGACACGATTTTTTCCGGGCGTAGAGGGCTGGCAAACCACCCGACACTTCTTGTCGGAGCCGACACAAAATCGGTTTCCGATAAGTGTGAATAGCTTCATATATAATGCTCTGCCACTGGAACCTCCGATTAATATACGGATCCGGCACCCGACAAGTGGGAACGAGCTCTCATTGTTTGGTCCTAGTTATCTGCCGCTTTTCCTGTCTAAATTCCGAATCGGAAGGAACAGCATTATAAAAATGATGATGTGACATATTGTACCCGGAGTGTAAGATACGGAACGTAACCCTGTATGCGGTGACATGTGAACATTTTGACATTGACAGCAATATTACAGGTTTTTTAAATTCCCCTCTCTTGTAAGCAAACGATTTTGAATCCATACAGTTTTTAACTTAAACTTATAGCAGTAAACTTCTTTTCCACAGATATTTTGTTTTAATTATTGATATGCCGTACTTTTAAGGTCGCAAATAGGCCTTTGGCAAAATTGATTTCTGCATAACTTCGTTAAGCCTAATTTTTATTGAAGTTATACTTCTTTAGGCGCGTTATGAAAAAATGATGAGAGTGAAATTTTTAGATGCGCGCGCATCACTGTAACCCAAAAGTAACAGCATGAAGTTGCCCGCGGGCGCGTTATGAAAAAATCATGTGAGTGAAATTTCGAGATGCGCGCGCATCACTGTAACACAATAGTAACACCATAAAGTTGGCCGCGGGCGCGTTATGAATGTTAGTGTCTCATCACTTAGTGGTTAATAATCAACCATTATTAGACATCTGTTCGAAAGGTACTTTGAACGATCCACGGAGCTCCTTAAGATGATCGCGTTGTCAAAAACAATGTTGGCACGCTCGTCGCCTCTGATCACTGTTTTCATATTTATAATATTTATCCACATGTTTCTAGTTTCTATATAGACACAACGTGTTTTAGTTACTTACAAGTGCTAATTACATATGGACTAATAACTTAAATTCAGTAGAGATTTTAATTGAATATTTATTTAATTTTTCAAATTAAAACTGAACTTAATTGACTGTGTTAACTATCCTTTTCCAGTCCTTTTATTATTTTATTGTAATTATTAATTATTTGCATGCAATTAAAAAATATTTTTAATGATGCTAAAGAAGTGTAACTTCTCACGCGCGTACATAAGTTACACGCATCCATTTTTTTATGATATTGGGTAAGGTTATGCTAGTGTTTAGGCCAAAGGCCCAAGCACGAGTAGCTCCGTAAAATATCGTATCTAATGGTCAAATGCATGGCAAAAGCTAGTTTCTTCTTACGTCCGACAGGGGTTTAGTTTTCATAGAAACTTTGACGATGCCATAAGTTACGGAGCTATCAAAAAACTCGTGGTTGAGCGTCTGAAGTAAGCGCGAGCCACGCGAACGAAGCGAACGTCAACCACATGATATAATAATAATAATATATAAATATCTATTGATGGGTTTAGGATTTTTTAACATATTTTTGTCGGACAGGACTTCGTCTGCGGGATACGCTAATATTTAATAAATAATTACTTTTCCAAAGAAATCATTTATATTTAAGCGTTATAGGTAACTGCTGTAAGATAATAAAATGAGTAACTACCTTCCTATATCAATGGAACTTCAGCCATACCTGCAGATTTTTAAGAATAAATGGAGTAGGAAAATGTTATTGAAATGGCACATTTTATTTCAAACGTTTATTAAGTATAGTAATATCTGACATTATTAAAAAGAGCTTAATAATTATAATCTTTACCTTACATATTTCTTGAACTTCTACTGCAAGTATTCCTGAGTAAGTAGTAAAAATAAACTTATTTTCTACAATACTTTTTCCGTATAAAAATAAATTCATTCATTACGATCGGTGATTTTAATGGCAAGTATGCACTTACACTGATGATTAAAAAAGAAACTTACATAATTACTTATTTTTAAATGTCTTTACTAAATGTCTAATACTTTAAATATTGATGCAAGATACTTCGTCAACACAAAAAAATAAGAAAAGAAAAATCTGATTCGCACTTTTTAATCTAATGCCGGCACCTCATTTGTCTATTCATATTTTGCTATTAAGTAAACTTAACAACAGTCTTTAATGTTAATTTCAGAAAGAGCATGACAAGGAAAACCTGTTGCAAAATGATAAATAGCATATACGAAGAGCCAAGCGAAGTGCCGGCATGAAGATCAATTTCCCAGTCAGTCAAACTAACAAACAAAACAAAACAACCCGATAAAAAATTAAAATACAATGGAGACTCCTTGGGAGTTCTAATAATTTGAGTTAATAAATAGAATAAATGTAAATAGAATACAAAACTGTGGCTTATAAAATTATCTATCACTATGTTGGTTGGGCAATACAACTAGGTACCCAGATAGCTTTTTAGTGGCCTTGATAATATTGGCAGTGTCCTATCTCTTTAAAATAAATAAATAAATGGAACATACCTCATGTTTATTAAAGTAATTAAGAAATATTATCAAATAGTTACGGCTGAATACTATACTCTATCAACATCTCGGAAAAAAAGTATGGTAAGTATTAGGTATACGACCTAAATACTTTTAGAGAGGTCGATTTTTTGTAAGTACCATAGTAAACGGAAACATTTTTAGTGAGCTATAATAATCTTTACTCCTGGATCTGGTTCTACCGCGACGTCTTTAGCTAGCGGCGCGTTGCCACAGATGCGAAAGTTCTTCGTGTACGGTATCACTCCGACCAGCAGACCAGAGATCACCACCCAGATGCCAGAAATATAGAAGGCGGCATCCCAGTACCCTGTAGTGTCTCTCAAAGCACCTGAAACAAAAGAGAAGCTATGAATAAATACCCGCATCAATATCTAAATTCAGGGCCCTAATGGGATACCTACAGCATATTTTAAAGCTTTTTTTCTTTTCCTAAAATATTATTTAGCATGGATTCGTTGAATTTTTGTAAATACTACCTACCTATGGATCCGTGGCAACATTTTTTTAAAGAAAGAGGACACAGGGGTGTCTCACTGAAAACGAATCAAAGTACTCAGCTACTTGCTACGGAGACCTTTATTAGTATTACGATGAGTTACGTGGTTCCTCGAGAATTGCAACCTATATTTCTACGAACCACTTTCTTTTAGCGTTATAGGTACTTAGTTATAATACTTTTTTGATTTCTGACCGTTAGAAATAACCTATTTGATCAAATTACCTCAACGTCTATGGTGGTCGTAAGTTTTTATCTCATAAGCCATGCATATTAAATATTTAGGTAAACACATCCGTTTGTAGGCCTTCTACATTCCAGTGCAGGAAAATGTAGAGTTATTTATATCCTGATTCATTTAGGCCTAGTCGAGTTTGATAATATCAGTACAAAACAGTTTTAATCTTTGTCGTATTGAAATCACATTATACTATACCTTTAGCACGAACCATTATCGAATTCGAATAGTTTGTGAGTCCGAAATATCATTGTCAAATGTATGAAAACTCAAGGAACTTATATAGGTACTATAAATTCCTTGTGAAAACTTGAAAAGCAGCGCCATGACGTACGTAAAGAGAACTAAAAATCAGTACACATTTGATAATGACGTTTCGTACTCGCTAACGATACGAATTCGATATTGGTTCGTGCTAAGGGTACAGTGTCATGGTGTCATGGTCATATAAAGTAATGACATGTTATTGAGCTAAACTGTACTAAGATTAAGTTCTCTTTCGTTAACAAAAATGGTTTTGAGTTATAACTAAGTAATCCACTGCCTTTGTGGCGTTTTTACGAGCAAAAATTTATTACGTCTATCTCTTTACGACTTACGTAGGTATCCTATTATTTCCAAGTAACTTAACCGTCCTTCTAAGTTAACAAGTATTCGAACAAATAGGTTACGTTATAGGTATTAGGTACTCGTGGCCAATTAAATTTCTGTAGAAGAACGTAAAAACAGGTATTTTTATTTGAAAATCGTAGCAAAAAAGCTAAACATTGCTGTCAATTGTTTTTCTGCGTCGAGCTGTTTATGTTTCGGAAAGATTTAAGCACTGTTTTGGGGCTAAGTGACAAAATTTTTCGAAAAAAACATTTGGTGAAGAATTTGATGTTTGCTAGACTAGGAATGTATGGCGGGCCGAGTTATTTTCGCTTAAAAGTGACATCTAAGTATTCCGTTAAGGGCATTATATAACTTTATAATAAAAGGATTTCTAACGAACTATCCTAGCTGCAGCACAACATTTATGGTGTACAAATGTTGTTGTCAAACATTAACTGATATAAATGTAATCAACCTAAATAAAATCCCATTAAAAAGCCGTACATACAAAGTATCGTCAAAATTACATCGTCCGAGTAAACAAAAATGCTCATAAAATGAAAAATATCGGGTCAAACTAAATTCAATTTTGATGGGACTAAATTGTAGGCCCGGGAAGATACCGGGCCTATTTTTACCTTTTAGGTTTTAGGTAACCCTAAAACCATACCGGCCGATTTGAAAACTTCCTCCTTTTTCAAATCAGTTAAAAATTCAAATAAATGTAACAACTTACCAGCCATAGGTGGGCCAACCAGATGGCCAATGCCTTGGCTCATAAGCACCAATCCATATGCCATTGTGAAGCGTTCCAACGCGATCAATTCCACCAAGATACTCGGAGTGTACGAATACGAACTGGAGAACATCAGCCCAAACACCAATGCGTTCAACACCAGTATGTAGAAACTGTAGGACTCGTTAGGATCCATGATGCGGATCAGGATCGGGAACAGAATTATAGTGCAGCCGCAGACGATCAAGCACAACGCGTAGGTCTTAGTGACGTTAACCCAGGGCAAGTCACCCATCCAGCCGAGACCGACCTGAAAGAAGATGAAGTAAATTATCAAACAGTGTAATAAATTTCAGTCGATAGGAGAATTCATACCGGCATTTTAGATCAATAATCTAGGATTACAGGGAAAGGAAAAAAAGAGTCACTTGCAAAATTTTCCTCTTAATGGAATAGGGATGCTGACTAATTTTTTTTTCTTCGTTTATCAGGTAGATTATCAAAAAGTATTGGACACGTATTTTTTTCTTTTTTCACATAATATAAACATTGCAGAAATATATTGATTTGAAAAGTCGCTTGACATCACGTTTGAGTACACTTACTCATAAGTGAAAATTCACTCAAAAGTGACGTCACGAGCCCCTACTCCCAAACTTTGACGCGCTATAACTTTGTCATTTTTTGGTTGATTGCCCGAAGAAAAAATACGGGTCCATTATTTTTTTGATCATCTAACTGACGCACTATAAAGAATTTCGTTTAATGTACCCCGTCATCACCCCTAATTCGCTGAAATTATTTAAACAAGTACCTACTACAAATTTTATTACTTTATATTTTTATGAATAGATCTAAATCGAGGAAAATTTATAGTTATTTCAGAGAACCTACAAGGAAAATCGGATTGTAAATTTTAATATGATTTCATTCAAAATATTAAGTTCAATAACAAAAATATAATCAGTAAGGTCGCCAACGACATTGAATTGATGCATACAATATCATTGATGATTCGTTCTATTGCAATTGATTGCCATTGAGTAACTTAGTAGGTACATCAAATCAAACTAATTTAAGAATCTAAGCGGCAATGCATTTTATGAGTTCCCATTCAATTTCAATCAATCCTTATTATTATATTGTACAAGGAACTCATTTGTTGCTATAACAATGTATCATATTTTAGCTTGTAAGCCGTCGCTTCCTGTAGTTTTGTTGAATTAATCACCACAATGTGCAACATTCTAGGAAGCTCGTAAAATATACTTACTGGATACACATACGAAGGCCAGTTTGTTATAAATCAACTCGGAAGTAAGGCAAAATACCGCGAATCCCAGACAAACCTAGCTAATAATTTTATCGTTCATCGTTTCTATATCAATTTACTGATAATTTTCATATGTTTATAGCTTTCATCGAATAATGCAATCTAACCACTAAAATAGCAACTAACTTGATTTTTAAAAAATACATTACATAAATTAAATTCCTACAGCTTTGCGCATAAAGAGGAAGTAAACAAAAAGTAAGTTTTACAAAAGTTATTGCAGTTAGGGACCTCATAAATAAAAAAAAAATGTGTGTGTCAGCTCTAATCAATCATTAGGAATGTTGATAAATTATGCAATTATTATTATCAGACTATTATCATTTTTTTAAATATTAATTAAATCAACATTGTCTGCATTATTAATGACAGTGACAAGTGGTTTATGGTAACTAAAATAAGACACATGGACGTTCGTAGATACGTGGTTCACGAATCTTGAAAATACCGCGTCAATGGTTGAACCATACCTCGTTGTCCCCATTGGTCTATCAGAAACAATATCTAAATTCAGTTCTGATTTTAAAAATTTTATTAATGTCAATCCGTCATCTTTGTTTGTCAAAGTTGCGTAACATAGGATGCGCACCAAAAACGTAACGAGGTCATTCATCGATAGATTTTACTCCTTACATTTTACTCATACCAGGCCCCTTATATATGCAAATCGATTCTTAAGGAGTAAACTCCAAAAAGAAGGTATTTTACAGATTGTTCAATAGACTCTAGTCTGAAATTACTTTATTGCAAATAGTTTTACCTCCGTGACCGTAATCGTGGTATGAACGTCGGGTTTCAAGGTGCCTACTCAAGAAGCGACCAAACGAGCATTTGTACAGCAGTCATGGATGTTTAAAATGTATTTCTATATAAATATACTTAGGTATATATGTATCAGTATATGTATTCTATCCGTTACCCTAGTATCCCATGACACAAGCCTACAGCTAACTTAATGTGTGGCTGACTAAACATAAGCTCGAAAAAATCTGTTTCTGACGCAGTCAGGCAATATATTACACATACATATATGCATAGGAGTTTCAATAAAACTGTTCCGTCCAAGCAGACTTACCGGAAAGAATACATTTGTAGCTTTTTCTAGTTTCCTAATATGTTACTAGCAAGCGTGAATAACGCTTTGCATTATTCAATAATGGTTAAATTTAATGATAATTTAAATAAGAAAGAAAGTCCAGTAATACTCACAATGCCTATAATAGTAGCGACTCCGAAAACACTCAACATGGCAGCCCCTTGAGTCTCAGTGTATCCGCTCATGGTCATGAAATTGGAAATGTAGAAGTACGGTACGATGAACCAGATGAACAAAACTAGTGTCGATAAGTTCATCATCAGGAAATGGAACTCCGTGAACATGTTAAAGTCGAACGTTTTGTTAATCATCTTGGCCAAACGTTTACCCCAACTCTGTAAATTGAAACAAAACAGTTATTTTCAATAATCTACATACATCGTTATTAATTTTCAATACAGCATAGATGACTCATTTTAAAATAAATTTTAAATATCTTTTTTTTTATAAATGTTTTTCAACTTACCGTTTCTTCTTGATCTTCCATGGACCACATTGAATTCCTGTAAATATCTGGACAAGATGATGCTCTCAACTTATATTTAGCAATGTTCATCATAGCCCCTCGATGCATGATGGAATTGCGGTGAACTCGGATATCCCTCAAATAATGATGATCGGTGTGCAGTCTTCTCGAGAGCCAATCTTGCCGTTCATTTTTTGGTTGAATAGGTTTATTTTCAGGGATCGGTTGTAATAGACTCTGTCTTACTTGATCCAATTTAGTTTCGAAATCTTTCTTCTTTTTTATATTGAGCTTCAGTTTCATGGACATGGTGATAGGTTTTCCTTTCGACACCTCCGCAACAGGTTCATTGGGCAGTTTTTGCTCGGAATTACTTCTGAGAGCAAGAAGAGATGGATAGTTTTGTAAAATTATATTATAAAGTCGCTTGTTGGAAGACAATTGATCTAGAACTTCAACCGGTACCTGAACAGTTAGGAAAACAAATAGGATCAGTAAGTAACATTATAAATCTAACAACACAAAAAAAAAGTAAGTGCACACAATTTAAATCATTACCTTTTCACTTTGTCTCAAGAATGTTGGCAGATTGATCACAGAACTATTTTTATATTTTGCAATGTCAGCGTTTTGTTTTGTTGCTGCTTCTAAATCTTCTGCTTCAGCTATGGAGGCAACAAGAGCAGTAAGAATATATTCAGGAGTTTCTCCACTCTTCATTAAAGTTTTTAGTTCTTCAGCCCCAGGGTATACTGATTCTCCTCCACCGGACTTAGCTGATACGGATATAGAACTAGAAGCCCTTTTGCTTTTGTTGAGTTTCCTTTGCTTTTTCTGTTCCAATATCAACCATTCTGGATCTCTCATAACAGCACCACAAACACAAACATTAAGTACTGTACCAGCAAGGAGTAATAGGGTTCCTCTCCAACCATACTCATCTAACAAATATGTCGTCAAAGGAGAATAGATAAATGTTCCGAAACCAACACCACATGAACCTAATCCAACAGCTAGATTTCTTCTTTTTTCAAACCAATAAGCTATAGATACTACTGCTGTAACGTACAGTAAACCCATTCCCAATCCAGCCATCAATCCATATGTAACACACAAAACTTCAACCGAATTACTGTAAGATGCAGCTACAAAACCAATAGTAGACGCGATTCCTCCTAAGATAGTCATGTTTTTGCAGCCATATCTGTCTACAAGAGCGCTCATAGCTGGTCCTGCTATCAGGGGAACTGATATAAATAAGCTGCCAATGAGAGACGTTTTTGCTTCACTTTGATTGAAATAGGAAACGAATTTCTCATTAATCAAGCCATAAGAGAAAGCGAGTCCGTCCGCAACAGTTGCTATTAGAAAAGAGGCAGCAACAACGACCCACCCCCACCCTCCATCTGGTATTTGTGGGGGTGGTTCTGATGGTGGTTTACTCGAACAAATACTGTCAGCATCACCAAGACCCAAAAACTTAACTCCTTCGTTAGCATTCGGATCTTCATCATTTTTATGATAAGCTACAGATAGATTATCCTTGTCCTGATAATGGTGTTCCGTTTTCATGGAATTGACAGTATTGAGATCATTGTCAGGTTTCACAACATCGTTGGCATCATGTTTCTCCTCCTGTGAATCTATATACTTAATGTCACTTGTCCTTTCAAGAAGAGGTGACGTAGTCTTCTCCTTTTCAGACGGTATTTTTGACTCGTACTTGAATGGCTTCTCGTTACCTGGTATTCCATTGCCGTAGGCTTTTTGAGAGTCCATTAGTCTATCAATAGGAGCTCTTAAGTACTGCCTAGTGCGTACTGAGTTCTCTAACTATTTCCTGCTCGAAACAGTAATATATGATTGGATTCGTAATCCAATATCTTCTACGTAGAAGAGATGCTTAGTTCCCTCGATGAGATTCTTAATCTGGGATCTCTGGCAGAGTAGCGACAAGGTCTCTTTGATATGCAAAGGGTAAGGGCGCAAGGATTGTAGGTTGTCGAGTACATCAAGGACGGGCTGGTCCTCGTACTCACACTTTCAAAAACCTCACTGTTTACGTTGTGGCGCGGTTGCTTCGTAAATGCTGAATACTTTCTTGACATAAGGATTAAAGTTTTGATGCTCTGAGTAACATTTCAATATGTCGCCCGGACAGGTTGAATTCTGAAACAAAAGAAATAAATAGATTGAAAACAAAATCCGCAATGTTATTTTATAAAGTTAAATATTAAAAAAAAGATAAATTTAAAAAATCAAAAAACCCGACTGCTTAATTATACTTCAAATAAAAACTGAAAAGAAAAAAACAAGTCCAGTAGTCTATAATTCTGTTAATAAGGAACAAAACTACTTTAACAGTCGGGACCCATTAAATATTCAAGAATACATAATATTTTTCAACAGTGGGTCCCGACTGTTAAAGTAGCTTTGTTCCTTATTAACAGAATTATAGACTACTGGACTTGTTTTTTTCTTTTCAGTTTTTATTTGAAGTATAATTAAGCAGTCGGGTTTTTTGATTTTTTAAATTTATCTTTTTTATTTCACACTTTTTAGTTAGTTAGTACTTTAAGATGGTATATACCGTAGTCTGGTTACTTCAGTAAGGGAATTAATATCGCGGGAATTATTAAGTACCTTGCGTCGGTCTAAAAGATTGATTTATTAAGATATATAAAGACTTTACCAGCGGGGTCAAGGCTACAGATGGGCCTCAATTTTCGCAAAAATGTGTGAAGTTAAATCAAGTCGTTACATAAATATCTCTAATGTATGTAAATTTTATAGTAAACTAGCACTTGTTTACTCAAAAAGTCATCTTTTGTTTATGTTTTTTTTAATAGTTTAGCAGTAAATATAAAATTGATGTTTAAATCTAAAGATTTTTTTTAGATCTAAAGATTTTTTTTCTAGTAAACTTTTCTTTAGAAGTAAGTAATAGGTTTATTTGATTATATTTGTAAAAGTAACTTAGCATTTGTGCTTAACAGTGAAACGTTATTCGGTATTTTTTTAAACAAAAAACATTTGGAAAACAATTTCCATGATTGCACTACTGGGAGTACTCTTCATTCGAGCTTTACACTACCAATAAAAAAGGGTCGATCACAAAGTCTTTGACCTGTTATATGTGAACGCTTTAAAAGAAAACTACAAAGAAAACTATAAATTGATAATAAATGAGATTGCTATGGTGCTCTACCTAACGTTATGAAAATTTTATTATGCGCCTTTAGTTTAATCAAATATTATAAACTTTGCTTTGGTGATTGCATAATTATTTAATTTAGTGATCTAAGGCAGTTGCCACCATTGTCCAAAACAACAAACGGGAATTAAGTACTGATTTCTTCAACCTGCGACATAAACGTCATTGATTGGTATTGTATATAGGGTGATTAAAAACATTTGAAGTTAACTTCTGGCATCTACATTGGGTTTCTGTGAATTATGTAGGTATATCAAATTATGAGACTAGGGACTGACACTGAATTTGTGTATATCACAATCTTAGACGTCCGGCATTGACACGACAATGCAGCTACTGCCAATTTTAAATAGTCGACAAATAAAAGTAAATGAATTTTATATTTACTGCTAAACTATTAAAAAAAACATAAACAAAAGATGACTTTTTGAGTAAACAAGTGCTAGTTTACTATAAAATTTACATACATTAGAGATATTTATGTAACGACTTGATTTAACTTCACACATTTTTGCGAAAATTGAGGCCCATCTGTAGCCTTGACCCCGCTGGTAAAGTCTTTATATATCTTAATAAATCAATCTTTTAGACCGACGCAAGGTACTTAATAATTCCCGCGATATTAATTCCCTTACTGAAGTAACCAGACTACGGTATATACCATCTTAAAGTACTAACTAACTAAAAAGTGTGAAATAAAAAAGATAAATTTAAAAAATCAAAAAACCCGACTGCTTAATTATACTTCAAATAAAAACTGAAAAGAAAAAAACAAGTCCAGTAGTCTATAATTCTGTTAATAAGGAACAAAACTACTTTAACAGTCGGGACCCATTAAATATTCAAGAATACATAATATTTTTCAACAGTGGGTCCCGACTGTTAAAGTAGCTTTGTTCCTTATTAACAGAATTATAGACTACTGGACTTGTTTTTTTCTTTTCAGTTTTTATTTGAAGTATAATTAAGCAGTCGGGTTTTTTGATTTTTTAAATTTATCTTTTTTATTTCACACTTTTTAGTTAGTTAGTACTTTAAGATAGTATATACCGTAGTCTGGTTACTTCAGTAAGGGAATTAATATCGCGGGAATTATTAAGTACCTTGCGTCGGTCTAAAAGATTGATTTATTAAGATATATAAAGACTTTACCAGCGGGGTCAAGGCTACAGATGGGCCTCAATTTTCGCAAAAATGTGTGAAGTTAAATCAAGTCGTTACATAAATATCTCTAATGTATGTAAATTTTATAGTAAACTAGCACTTGTTTACTCAAAAAGTCATCTTTTGTTTATGTTTTTTTTAATAGTTTAGCAGTAAATATAAAATTCATTTACTTTTATTTGTCGACTATTTAAAATTGGCAGTAGCTGCATTGTCGTGTCAATGCCGGACGTCTAAGATTGTGATATACACAAATTCAGTGTCAGTCCCTAGTCTCATAATTTGATATACCTACATAATTCACAGAAACCCAATGTAGATGCCAGAAGTTAACTTCAAATGTTTTTAATCACCCTATATACAATACCAATCAATGACGTTTATGTCGCAGGTTGAAGAAATCAGTACTTAATTCCCGTTTGTTGTTTTGGACAATGGTGGCAACTGCCTTAGATCACTAAATTAAATAATTATGCAATCACCAAAGCAAAGTTTATAATATTTGATTAAACTAAAGGCGCATAATAAAATTTTCATAACGTTAGGTAGAGCACCATAGCAATCTCATTTATTATCAATTTATAGTTTTCTTTGTAGTTTTCTTTTAAAGCGTTCACATATAACAGGTCAAAGACTTTGTGATCGACCCTTTTTTATTGGTAGTGTAAAGCTCGAATGAAGAGTACTCCCAGTAGTGCAATCATGGAAATTGTTTTCCAAATGTTTTTTGTTTAAAAAAATACCGAATAACGTTTCACTGTTAAGCACAAATGCTAAGTTACTTTTACAAATATAATCAAATAAACCTATTACTTACTTCTAAAGAAAAGTTTACTAGAAAAAAAATCTTTAGATCTAAAAAAAATCTTTAGATTTAAACATCTAGCAGTTAAATGCTTAAAAAATAAATAAAATCATAACTATTACTTACTTTATTTTTTAATCAATTTATCAATTAAATACTTATCCTAACTATCTATACTAATATTAAAAAGAGGCAAGATTTGTATGTTTGTAACAAATAATCTGTCAAACTACTGAACCGGTTTCAAATATTAATTCATCATAAGGTAGCTACATTATTTAATTTTATTATTACATTTTTCTTTATTTAAATACATTTTGTCCGAGTGACATAGGCTATATTTTATCCCGATAAATAAATTTCGCCCGTACAATGCCCAGGTGGATCACTAGTAAGTATAATATAATGTTATAGATGCGAAAGTGAGTTTGTTTGTTGCGCTTCCGTGCCCTAATAGCTAAATCGAATATAATGAATTCCCATATAGAAGTAGAAGGGAACTTGGTTCTTCGCTACAACATCGCAATACTTATAGGCGTAGGGTGATGAAAGGGGTGATTTACCTAAAAAAATCTACATTATTTACTTTGAATTTTGCAGAATTATTACAAAACCAATATTATCGCGAGCTGATTAATAAATACAGGGATTCCAATAAGTATGTACTTACTAGCGAAAAATTGGTTGTCATTATATTAAGTAAACCTTTTTTGTAACATTAAGTAATATCGTTAAAAAAATGAAAAACATTAAAATTCTGAGTTTTTCATTGAAATTCAATAATCATAAGTACCTATTATGATAATATATTTTTCATCATTTAATAAGAAGGAACTGTATCACAGTTTTATTGTTAGTACTTCGTATAGGATCAGATACTGCGAATAGCCCTTTTTTTTTGTTTTACTTAGTACACCGCGCTATCACTTTGTCATCGTTGTAACTTTTTAAATATTTGTCGAAATGACATAGTGTAAAAAGCACTATGCATAAGCACTAGTTTATCGTCTTTAAATATCAAAAGAGATAAAAGTATTTGTTTTGATAAAAAATGATTTAAAGAAAATATAACTAGAAAAAATTCCACGTGGACCAGGCAGAAGACGGGACACGGACCCGCGCCCTTCGCAATCCGGGCGAATGCACTGACCAATTATGCTAGCGCGGCCCTCACGGACCGCGTCGAAATTCTTCTAGCCATTCTTAAGCTGCAAGGCAGCGCCATCTTTTCGCATTACAGGTAACCCACAATGTCAAATGAATACTTTTACAATTAATTATTAAACATTTGAAAGAAGAAATAGCAATTACAGTTATAATTTTTATTATTTTAAAGCATGTAACTGCTTGATGTTGACTGCATATGTAGAAAAAATTCCACGTGGACCATGCAGAAGGCGGGACCTGGCCCACGTGGAATTTTTTCTAGTTATATTTTCTTTAGATTTAAACATCAAGCATCTACATGCTTTAAAATAATAAAAATTGTAAAAAATGATTTGTTAATACAAAATGTGCATTTTGAAAATAGATATCAAATAATATTTTAGTTTTGATTCACTATTTTAGCGGTAAATGCTATGTAATGTCTTACACATTAAAAATAGATATATAGTGTCACGGACTTTTTTTTAAGAACTATTTAAGAGATACATTTTCACTCTACATTACATTCATGTAACTTTTATTGTTTTTGCAGTGCAGGCCAAAATGGCTCGCAGATGGGAGATTTTTTTCCGTCTTATGTGACACTTATTGTTATATATTGGCCAATTCACTCAATAACTACATAAATTATTATATATATGTAATTATCATATATGAGCTATATTACTGTTAAGTTTCATCAAAATCCATTTAGTATTTTTTAGGTGAAAGAGTAACAAAGATCCATACAAACGTAAGATTGAAATTAAAAGCGTAAGTGGTTAATATACAACTTTAAAGCTTTGTAGATCCTAAACAATCATATAAAATGAAAAATGG